TTTCACCCTTTCCCCCTCACAGCCCTTCCCTGCAGCAGCTGCCTGTCGGGCGGTGTGAGCCCAACTGCCACCGAGCCTCTCCAAGTGAGGGGCTGAGCCTTCATCCCTCTCCCGAAGGGGGACCGCTGCCCCCTAATGCGAATTAAGACCCCCATCATATTGCCCCTCTCCCAACAGTGGCCCCATCCCAGCTGCACACAATCCCCCCACCCTGAAAATAATTTTTGGCAAATATGTAAATACTTGCTCTCACTCTCAATTGTTCCCAGCCGTGGGGAAAATCAAAGGACGAGCCACAGGCTGCTCCACTCGCTTCCCCAGCGCCTGGCGCCGCAGCCTGGGGTTTGGCCGCTCCCCAGCATCGCCCATACGAGCCCCATTAGGGAGCCAGGGCTGGATTTTCTGGCTCTCCAGGAGGGCCTGGCCTGACCACAGCAGGACGAGCCTGATGACATTTCCATGTCCCTTCTGCCTGGCAGGGCCCCGCCACCTCCCTGCTGTCCCCATCCCCATACGCAGCCCGGATGGACCCCGAGCATCCCCTTCCCCAGAGCACAGGGAACACCGCTCCTCCGCAGTCACTTGGCCCTGGGAGGCTGAGAGCAGGAAAGCGGCCGTAAGCAGTCACCCCCGAGGTCCTCTGTCCCCCTCCCAGCTGCTTGCCCGTGCCCAGGGGAGCACGGGAGCCAGGCACAAGCCTGCTGTCAGGACCCGGCCATGATGCCTGCACCGAGCACCCCTCCCTTTGAGGAAGAGCTGCACGCTCTGCTCTGTGGTGGGTTGACCCTTGCTGGGTGCCAGGTGCCACCAAGCCGCTCTATCACTCCCCTCCTCAGCTGGACAGGGGAGAGGAAATATATCGTGAGTCGAGATAAGGGCAGGGAGAGATCATTTGCCAGTTACTGTCATGGACAAAACAGACTCAACTTGGGGAAATCAGTTTAATTTATTACCAATCAAATCAGAGTAGGAGAGAATAAAAAAACCCTGAATCTTAAAACTCATTCCCCAACACCCCTCCCTTCTTCCCAGGCTTAAGTTTACTCCCAATTTTCTCTCCCTCCTCCCCCTGAGCGGCACAGGGGGACGGGAATATGTGTTGGGGTCCATCCATCACAGGCTGTCGCTGCCGCTCCTTCCTCCTCAGGGGAGGACTCCTCGCACTGGCCCTGCTCCGGTGTGGGTTCCCTCCCACGGCAGACAGTCCTCCATGAACTTCCCCAGCGGGGGTCCTTCCTACGGGCTGCAGCTCCTCACAAACTGCTCCAGCGTGGGTCCCTCCTTCCCATGGGGTGCAGTCCCTCAGGAGCAGATGGCTCCAGCATGGGTCCCCACAAGGCCACAGGTCCTGCCAGGAGCCTGCTCCAGCCCGGGCTTCCCTGGCCGGCGGGGCCCCCGCCTGCCCCACCATGGGCTGCCCCAGGGGCTTCGGGGGAATCTCTGCTCCGACGCCTGGAGCTCCTCCTCCTCCTTTGGCACTGGCCTGGGGGACTGCAGGGCTGGCTGCTCCTCTCACATCCTCTCCTCTCTCCAGCTGCAATTGCACACTTTTTTCCCCCTCCTTCTTAAATACGTTACCCCAGCTGCACTACCACTGCCACTGATGGGCTTCGCCTTGGCCAGCAGCGCGTCCATCTTGGAGCTGGCTGGCATGGGCTCTATCCGACCCAGGGGAAGTTCTGGCAGCTTCTCACAAAAGCCACCCCCGTAGCCCCCTGCCACTACCAAAACCTTGCCGCGCAAACCCAATACACAGCCCCATGCCTCTCCCAGTTCGTGTTAGCACTGTGAGCGTTCAGCTGCTGAATTCCCACCCTGCCGATGATCCTGGGCCTTGGCATCCTCCAGGATAATTTAGTGCCCGGGCTCACTGTGGGCACGGCCTCCCCTGCATTGGGACCCTCCTACCCCGGGCCCCAGTAAGGCAGCACAGGCAGCTGCTGTGTGCTCGGAGGAGGCAAATTAGCCCACAATGCTAACAAAGCATTTGCTTGGGAATAGGTGGGGGGAACCTAAACTAATGTCTCACACCCAGCGGGGCACAGGGTGCCCCAGCAGCCCTCCCACCAGCAGGGCTTGCTGGAGCCTGCTCAGCCCCCTGCGTGAAATAGCAATTGCTAACGAGCCTGAGCAGCGAGCGAGGCCAGGTGGGCACTGAGCTGGGCTTGCTTGGCTTAATGCCATCCACAGGGACTCAGCTGGACACAGGGGACGTGTCCCCCCCCATGCCTCAGTTTCCCTCCTGATAAAGCATCAGGTAACAAGCCCCAAGCAGGGCCAGCCATGGAGACCAGACCAGGCTTGATGGGATTTCAGGGTAGCCCCAGCCAGGTTAGCCCCTTACAAAGGGCTTTCTCATGTGTGTTTTGGGCTGACAGCATCTGTCCAGCTGTCTGTCCAGCATCCAATCACCTGGAGAGTGGTGGATGGATGGATACACTGCAATGTGCCAGAGATGAACCTGGCTTCAGATTTGCAGATGGAAGTTACTGAACATTGCAAATTTGTGCTGAATTCATCACTTTCTGCCTCCTGCTGGGGAGAAATAAAAATCCACAGGAGCCAAAAGTTTTTGACATCTTGAAAATGAAATATTTCAGTTCTCAGCTTTGAAAGGACTCAAAGCATTTTGGCCGGACAAGTGGGGAAACCACCAATTCCCCAACTCTGGGAGGGACCGGGCAGTGGGACCACACCGATTTCCCCGCGGCTACAGCTCCCACTTTGGGGGAATCCCCCCCATTTCCGTGGCTATGTGCAAAACCACAATTTGAGTCTGAAAAACAGGAGCTGCCCCATCTGGTGCCATGACCTGTGCCATGCAGAGCCTAGGGTGTAAGTACAGGGAGGGATAAATGAGGGCTGCAAGCATGCCCCAGCAGTGCATCCCCCTGCTGTGAGGCTCTCGGGGTAAGGATCTGCCCCCGTGCCTTATATAGCCAATTTTAATCATGATGCTGTTTCTAGCCATGTGTTAATAATGCAATTAAAGGGGGGCTCGATGACACCTCCCTGCCCGTGTATTGGGCTGAGCTTCTTCCCGGGCATTTATCGCCCCCGCAGCGAGTCCCCCCCATGCCTGCCCTGCTGCTGGCCGCCATCCAGCAACCCTCCAGATGAGGTTTTCTTGTTTCTCACATGTGTCCAGGCTGGTAAATCCCTCCCAAATTAATTAACAAGGGCCGTGTAGAGGCGCCAGCTGCTGTAAAGCCGAGCCGGGTGGGTTTGGGGATGCGGAGGGCTGCACTGCAGGGTCACATCAGGACAAGCCCACGCCCAAGCACTGATGCTCAGAGGGCTGCTGCAGGCAAGAGCGGCGCTGAGAAGCCTTCGCCATCTTCTTGCCGTCATCTCACCAGCGAGGATGGCCGGGTCGCCTGGTTGATGGAGCTTTCTCCCACCACGGGTTGATGTACAGGACCTGCCCCAGCTCGGGGCTCAGTGCCAGCACTGAGGGGCCTTTGGTCCCCAGCGCCGCATCGGGATGCCCTGCACAGCAGTCGCTCCGGCGCTCACTCTGGCAGCTCCTGGCGCCTGCTATGCTGTGAAGCTTCAACCCTGCAGAGAAGCGCAGGAAAGAGCC